TGTAGACTGAGATCAAAACTATCCCCTCCACAATTCTAGTACTGGAGGAAAGAAGAAGAAACATTTAAGTCTCTTCAAGGTAGTGGAGGTGTTACACTGCATTTGTGTTATGTCATTTTACTGAACAGTTTAAAGAAAAAGTCTGGCCTTCTGCAGGAGCAGCAGTTAGAGAGCCCAATTTTTGCTTCAAAGGGAGAGTGTTCAGAGACACAGCCAAGCTTGACCAAGGGAAGCATGCACACAGGCTAAACAACTTTAATTAGGTCAAGTTTAAAATAAACAGAACCCCACACATACAAAACACCCAGCTGTCATCTGTCCCAGACCAGTGGGGAAAGAAAGGGAGAGTTAATGGATAAATGTCTTCTTAAAATTTACATTAGGGAGAGGATGTGGGCAGGGTGGTATTGCACAACCTGAAAGCTGGTGTATAATATGGAATATAGGAATATAAGATGGAAGTCTATCTTGAAGCCTTCCTACAGAGGGAAGACAGTACTACCCACCACAAGTGGAGGGCAAACAGATGCTGCTGCACCTCTGATAAGTAGCAAACTATGTTCTCACTGACACAGGCCAGGTCCCACCAGGTCATGCTTTTGGGGAAAATATCAAATTTAACAAAGTCCATTTGATTCCCCAAGAGTTGCACACATGTGAGTGCAGCTAAGGGTCTGATGTAAAGGCTTGCTCCCACAAGTTCAGCTAAAAAGCAATCACTTGTCAGAGCCAGAAGGAACATCAGTTTCCCTTCTTAGCCTCTCTTTAAAAGAGATTCACATGAACCATTTTGAAGTTGGGTCAGATTTATTCATGTGCTTTGATACAGTTCTGAAGCCCACTCTAGTGTTTAGTAAATAAGCAGTATATTGATGTAGTTTTAAATTAGGAAACACAGTGAAGCAACAGACAACCAGCAGACCATGTCTAAAGCCACTAAAGGCTACTGAAGAGATGTTTTCAATGGGAGCAAGTTTTAATCAAATTAGGGAATTGATACCCTAGTCAGAGCCTTGGTGACTTGGAGCCACCATCCAAAGCACTTCCCTGGTTTGAGGAAGAACCATTGCCCAGACCCTCCAACTCCAGGTATCTCCTCAGAAAACTCAAAATCCTTATAATGGGCAAAAGCTTCCCAGGGCAGGATTGCCTCCTCGGCTTGGCACAGAGTCACTATTTTAGTCAAGCTACTACATTATTTGACCAGTTTAGTTTGGCAACTTCCCTTACAGACACAGGAACTAGATAAACAGGGAAAGGTTGTGCTGGACGTTCCTCTCATCGCTTCATGGACCTCAGGCTGAGCAGACCCATACATTAACTGCTGCCACACCCCTGCAGCCAGTGAAGGAACTTGTTTTACTTAAGTCACTATGTCTAGAGCTGGGCTGTGAGCCCTCCCAGTACAACAGACCCCAAGGGAGAAGCATAGAGGCAAAGCAGCAAGCTGCCATGGTCTCCATGTCTTAGAGGTAATCAACCCTCTCACCCATCACAGCCATCAGCTGGGCTAGGACAACTTAACCTTCCCTTAACAGAGGAACCCCCAGAGGACACTTGCTTAACACTGTAGCCCCAGAAGGTAACTTCATTTACACCTACACAACAGAGAATGCTCTCTGCTCCTTTGCTACCTATTTGACCTGGAAAATCTTGCTTGTCTCAAGAGGAGAGGTCCAAGCAGGTCAGCAGGAGACTGGTTCATCTGTGCCACTACAGATCCCATAGACAACTCACTCAGCCTTACAGGCTTTCATAAGCATTTGGTTTCTTAATTCTCAAGTCTGCAATCTAAGATGCTTTAAACCACCTTTTTTTTTTTTTTTTTTAAAGGTAAAAATGCATACAGCATGCTTTAATATATACCTCAGGGTAAGGGGGTAGAGCTATCAGGCATTTCTGGAGCAATAGCCTTAATCACACTACACTTCAATTTCATGTGTATATTTTATACATTTGTCTAGTTGAAAAACAGCAAGAATTATAAGAAAGTTATTAATATAGTTATTTCTCTCCAGGGAAGAAAGGAGGATTAACTAATTAAGTAAATTAACCATCTTAAGTAAAAGACTAATTTAGAATCCACTATGACCTTCAAGTCAGAAGATGCTTGTTACCTTTCCTTGCAGCTGTACTCTTATTAGAGGTATTATACGCCACACCGTGCCTCCTCCAAAAGCACAGGGCTTGTTAAGAGTTACAGCAGGAACAAGCCAGAAGTGGATCTGCCCTCTAGTTACACTGGAGCCTAATCAAATAGTTTCAATTAAAATAAAAACAAATTCATATCACATACTTAAAAGCTTAGTAGTATAAGAGATACATTACATTTTCATGTTATTACTTCTCATAGCTAACAAACTAATTTTAAGCAGATTATTCCCTTCAGATAGAAGTTCATTCATTTAACAATTATCAGAGAGAATTTTTTCTCAAGGCACGTTATTAGATACCACAGTTTCCTGCAGCAGAACCACACACAGAGAGCATAATCTACAAAAATCACAAGGTTAACACAAAACTCGATTGCTGCACTGCAAAGTTAAAAGCAAATAACAATAAAAGCCCTAAAGCTTCTCACTAAATACACACAAGCAAACAAACAAAAGGAACTTACATAAATCCAATCTTCTGCCACAAGAAACAACAGCCACTTCCTTCCCAACTGCCCCTTTACTCCAGACCCCTCAAGAGACAGGGCTCATCCTGCCACTGCCCCTCTTATCCAGAAACCACTTCCAGTGCAGCTTTGCTTGCTCCAGCGATTCGTCAATCAGTGGAAGCTAACAAGTTCAGCCAGACCAATCAAGGTGTCTAATTAAACCCAGGTGTGCTGAAAGAGCCAGGCTAATGGAATTAACGCAGCTCATTATGCTGGGAATCCTCTGGTAACTTTTAAAACTTGTTATGCCTATGCTCTAATTCAGGAAGGCGTTAGAGCCCTACAGCCCCTGATGCAGCCACGGGGGTCTGTGCTAGTTTTCATGGCTGGTTTTGAGGTGCAGCCTCATGCACTGTGGGTTGCAACAGCCTAATTGCACAAAGACCTGGACATGTACAGCAAGATGTGTATCAAAAGAAATGTCCTCATGTTAGTGTTGCAGAAACAACACTGCTCTTTGTGTCCAATTCCAGCTGTGTTAGAGGCAGGCATGCATATGGTGAAAGAAAACTGGGACTTTTGCTTTCTTTGCCTCCCCCAGTCCTTAGCATCACTGTTGGTGCTGTCAGGAAGAGCACCATGAGTGACAATCATCCTGATGGTTACGTTCGCTTCCAGACTGAGACAATGCACAGCCCATCTCACTTTTGCTGCCAAAAAGGTGCTATCTGGTCACGGTGATCCTAGGCCTGGCTTTGCTTCAGCAGCTGAGAGGTACAAAACTACAGCTAGTCCCTGCAGGTCCCTGCATATGGACAAAATAAGATGTCTCATATAAAATAATTGAAATTATAATAAATCAGTCTGAGAACAGTGGTCTCTCCACACCACTGCACTGTGTGAATGGCCTGTTCCATACCTGGGGGCGATCTCCTTGTAGCAGGTCAGTGGAACAATAGTGCCCTGCTGCCCAGCTTAGCATGTGCCCTTTCCCTGCTGTTCCCTGGTGGCTTGCCAGTTCTGGAGGCATAACTTCTGGGGGGTCAGACTCTTCCACCCACACCAATGCCCATGTGGAGTAACCAGTATATCTCCTGGAGTTTTTTTCAGATTTACACCAGCACAATGGAGACCAAGATGCCAATGTACGTCAGTGCACAAAGCAAGCCTCTGCAAGACTTTTTGAGGTGCCACCTTCTGATTGATGGTCGGAACAGGTTAGAGTGTCCATTGGCACCCAGGATGCTATCATTTACATCACCTTCCTTTGCACTGACCATTGTTGCTTTGCTGTATATAAACACACACTGCTCCACACTACTCATTATGAAATGTGAGCCGCCTGTGCAAGTATGGTAAGTCAGCAGCTTATAGTGTGTGTGTGTGTGTGTGTGTGTGTGTGTGTATGTACGTACACTGGAAGTGTTCTCTGTGTGTATGTACACTGGAAGTGTTTTTTAATCTCAGCTTATTGGGAATAGTAGGACTCATCCTTAATTCTGTGCAAGTTAGTCTGCTAGACCTTTGAAAAAAACACCTAATTTTAAAGAAAGATTCTTGTTTCTTTTCTAGAAATTCTTGCTGGTCTTTTGCTTGATCCTTCTCTTCTCAAGTACTCTGTGTGATGCTCGCTGTTACTTTAGACCAGCCAGCAAATACGGTAAGAATGGCAAATATATAGACATCTGTGAAGCATGAATTCAGTTTCAATGCCCTATTGCCTTGGAAACATTGGAATAGTATAACACATTCTTTATTGAGGGATGATCCAAAAAGCTACATACTCAGGAATCAACCTACCTGGAGGCATCTCTGGACACAGAGAGATGCTATCCTGATGAGTAGTTACCCTCTGGGCTGAATGCATAGCTGAAGTTCTTGCCCATGTGGCAAAAAACATAGTTTTAAGCAGCATTGACTAATCTGAGTGGGGTACCTGATGCTAAAATCAAAGCAAAGACAACACAACTGGCATTTAAATTCAGTTTAGCAGAGCAAATTGAAGTCTAATAAGAACTGGGGAAAAGGGAGGAGGGAGAAATTAAAGTCTAGACCCATATGTTGGATATGAGACAGAACAGAAAGATCCTACCGTAGCCATAAGCTAAGGCATTTCTCAGAGCCATTGCAATAGCAGAATAGTACTTCTCTGGTGTGTGGTTGCTACCACTTTGTCATGTCTTAACTCATGCACACTTCAGGAGCAAAGACATGGTATCCTTCCTGGAAAGCACTGGGTCACATTCTTCCCTGGTGTGAGTCAACGGAAATCAGTGCTTTGATTGCCAGACCACAAACGTAAGACTGTGGCCCTTGTCTATTGATACATGTTCATACTGATCTGCTATCATTTTCTGGTGTGTGCCTGCAGGGTGCCTTTCAAACAGAAACCTCTATGTTTTTGGTGCGGTGTGGAAGACTGAAGATTGTTACCAATGCAAGTGTAAGATGACTGCAATGATTTGCTGCAGCTTGTAAGTTCCTCCAAATTATTGTTTGCTGTTCAGGAACTGGTTGAAATGTTCAGACTTGAAAAAGCTCGTTGAAAGCACGCATTGGGGTTTCATAGTCACAGGAGCAAAATTCCTCTTCCTGCTTCCCCGTTAGCTCTAACCATGACCAAGCAGAATAATCTAGCAGTCCCATAGATTTCTTTGGGAAGAAACAAAAGGAAACACAGCTAGGGTCTTTCGAGCACACAGCTCTTCCTCATCACCTAGATGTTCTTTTGATTCTGATGCTAACTAGGTGTATGACTCCCTTTAACCTCAGTTTTCTTTCTCCTTCTATTCAGCAGCTTGTCTCTAGATACCTAAACACCCCACAACACACATACGCGTGGGCTTTTGCAGCTCTGCACCAGACCAGTGGCCTGCCTGCAAGCACCTAATCAGGCCAGAGCTGCTCCACATCCTTCCCATGCTGCCAAGAGCCCACTCTTTCTGCTTATCAAAACAGGAGATACATGCCCTGCTCTGTTAATTTGCTTTCTAAATCTTCCCGTGTGCTCCTGCCTCATGGATGGCAGGTGAGCTGTGTCTTCCCAAATATAATGGTGTGAACTGATTATCTCCCCAGAAGGCTCACAAATTTCTTCTTGAGGTGAGGGAGAAAGAGCCCCATAAAGGGTCTGTGAGGAAGGATTACAACCCAAGGAACCCTTGGTGGGCAATATTCCTGGCTGTCAGCCATAGCGGGGAGGGAGTTGGCCTGTGTTGAGAAGAGGCTCACCTAGGAGGTATTCACACTGGGGTGATTCAGCACTCTTCAAATGGTTTGTTTGTGTCAAGAAAGTCTTTGTTTAAATGGGAAAAGCATAATTAATCCCCATTTTGCCCCTGTGCAGGAATTTATACCAATCCCTAACAGCATGGCCAGTGAGAACTGCATTTAAACCAGAACAAACATTGGGAAATCACTTCATCCGTTAACAGCCGTGATCGGGGCTCTGTATTCCTCCTATGATATTCCGTAGTGTTTGTGTTAATGGAATCCATGAGCCAAATCGGTCCATGATGCAGCTTGCTCCAGGATGGCTGTGGCTCAGTAAGCATCCTTATCTCAGTCCATGTCTTGGCTGCTGATTTTCCCTTTGCCTTTCTCAACGACAGGGTTTTAATCCCCAAGAACTATGACAGGATAAACTGTGTTGGCCTATTCCACAAGAAAAGCTGTTCCATCCGAGTGGTGAAGAAGACTAATCCTGACATAAGCTGCAAAGTCTACAACGGAGTTGGTTAAGACCACATGATGTGTTTCTCCTCTTCTGCACCTGCCTCTAGAAGTTGAACATGCCCTGGATCTCTCCTTTAGAGGAATGCAGCAATGCAGCATGGTTTCAGGAGGAATGGGTTCACCTCGTGCCTTTCACAGCTCTAACTGTGCCACATCTGTCTCATTTCTGACACTAGGTGGTTTGTCTTATAACACACACTTTTGTAACCAAGCTTTACCACAGATAACTGTGACTTTTTTTCCTGTCGGGATCCAGACTTAAATAAATTTTCACATATATCAAATTACTGCTTTTCCTTCTAAGTAGTCACTGATTGGTCTTGTTAAAAACAGAAGAATTCATGGTGTCTGTAAATGTTTGTAAATCTAATTATTGATTTGGAAATCATCTAGCTTAAAGAGTAACAGGTATTATATAAATTGTTGCCACACAAATGGGTTCATTATGCTGTTATGCTCATTGACATTCCCCCAAGGACACGTACAGTAGAAGAATGGGATGAAACAGCAGAAAACAGCCCTCTGACAGCCTCCCCTCACCCTGGTGCCATAGGTAGGTCAATACATTAGTGCAGATGTGTAAGGGAACATATTCTCCAGGACATGACTGATATATGACAAAAAAAGCAAGCCCATGCCTGAGAGTCCAACCTACTGCGAAGAAATGCCGTATAAATAGCTCTGTAGCCTTCCATACCAGGATAGAATTTCCTGCAATAATCTTGTTTGGATCAAAGTCCACTGATCAACAACGCCATGAAAGCTGTTTGTACAGCTGTTTGTACTGTAAAATGTTTAGGCACTACACTTCAGGCCCTACACTGTGCCTGGTACGAAGTCCATGGAAGTGGTTTACATAAGAAATATCCTATAAAACATATTTAGACAATATTAAAATCGATTATAACAAGAGCGCTGTACAGCTTTAAAAGGTGCAGATAAATAATTTGAGTGTGTTCAGTTTATTCAGCACTGACATCATGGGTGTTTTTTTCATCTGCCTTTCCACCTTGCTAGAGCGTATTACAATGAAATATTTTAGCTAATGGAACCTTCTTTTTTTAATATCTGTTGTGGAAAACCACAGTCACACGGTCTATTTTCAAGTGTGGTGCTAAGAGTATACAACTAGAAAACCTGCACATACTAAGGAAAGCAGCTTACCAATGCTTAGAAGAAAACCCATCCATGGCCCCAGGTACTACCAGAATATCATTAAGCTGATTCCAGGGAGCAGGTAAAATGAGAAATGCAGTAATAGCTTCTTAAATCTTTGGCCCTCAGGTTTAGTTAGAACTACTTGGTAGCAGCTCCCTTTGACGATATCCCCCTGGGCCTTCTTGGGAGTGGTGGAGTGGACATCACTGGAGCTGGCTATGACCCTCCCAACCTGTAAGTAGCAGACAGTGGAGAGGCACTCACTTTTCTACTTGCTAAGGGTGGATAAGAGGATTTCACCCAGCTATATATATAAAGAAGATATATATACATGTGTATATATAAAAGAGACCATGATACCAGCTTCCTATATACTAGCTGCATTTATAAGGGCCTGCCTAGGGGACCAGGAGTAACAGAACTTTCCTGAAGGCTTGAACATCATGTAAGCAGTTCAGAAAAATCCCTGGGAAGATACATCGGTTTCACTAGCTCCCCCCCATGGAAGGAGGAACAAATAGGAGAAGGCTGAAGATGGTTAAAACACCAATTCTGCTTCAGAGAGAGGCAGAGATTCTGACAAAACAAAGCCAAGCCAAATTTGTGCAAAATACCTACAAGGATATCATGTAGACCTGCTAAGCTTAGCATACACATGGACTATGTACTGTTCCATGGCACATTTTCTCCACATGCTTTTGTCATCGAGTACCTCTTGTGGACATTGCTCACTGTTTATCAGTGCCAGGGAGAGCAGGACTCCAGATGCTGCACCACAATTAGATTTGGTAAATGTACTGCGGGAGAGCTGGCCTCTGAAATTCTATGCTCAGAGGAAGGAAAGAGGCAGAGCTTCAGGGCTTCATCAGTGAAGGCTGAAATGGCTGAAGATCTGACACAAGAGCACTAGAGGAGACCCTCAAAGCATCCAGAGTGCAGTTGTAATCCCACTGCTGTGACAATCCTGTCATTCCCAGGGAAATGCCTAATTGTACCCAACAGGTGCCTTGCTGTCACCACAACCACTTTCAGAAAGGACTTATCTGGCTAGTGCAGAGCGGACTATTTCCCCATGCATCTGTGCTCCCTTGAAACAGGTTGTCTCCATAGAGTCCAGCCGCTTTATGTAACAAACTGCAGAGAAACCAGGACACTTCCCCAGTGCCCTCCTGTACCAGCAGCACCTGCTGTGGACAGAGAACGGGAGCAAGCCTTGCAATCGCTCCGTGGGTAGTAGGACAGCCCCACGCCATGCCAGCTACTGCTTCTTTACTCCATTCCCCATAAACAGCAAATGGGGCCAGGTCCATTGCTTGCTAGAGTCAATCCAAACCTACCGATATGAACAGAAGCAGCCAGTCTGAGCAGCACATGACTAAATATCTGGGAATACAGTACTTCCATGTTGCTTCCCAGCAGCAAGCGTCCTGCGTTAAGAGAAATTTCCACCATTATGCACCCTCATTCAAATACTGTTTGAGCATTTTGCAAAAGCATTGGTGGGTCAGGATCCTCACAGAGACTTTCTACAGTACATGTTCAGTAGTGCCCATAGTACAGTGAAATTAAACATGGCCAGATTCAAACCAACCAGCTCAGGTACCAGCATCCCTTTCAGCGAGGTGCTGAACCAAGCCTACAAGACCCACCTGGGATGAGAGAAGCATCTTTGTCTTGCTGCTGCTGTTCTCACCCCAAGCTAGCTCCAGTAGCATCCCCTCTATGTTACGGTCTGGACAGCTTCTGCACGGCAGCTCCAGTCCCACCACATCTCTTGGCTTACACACAGTGGCTGCTGTGTGCGTGTAAGTCCCAGCTACACGAACCAGTGCAGGGTTGGAATGACCCAAGCGCTGCTCCCACATTAGCTTATTAATAGTGAGCATTTTCACCCTGTGGTTTGGATACGACGCGGAATGAATATACGTGTAATAGGACTCTAATGCAGTCCCATTCACCTCATCAACATTGGCCAGAACCTTGATACAGCAGTTCATCCTAAAAATCTGTCAGGAAGGAAGTCCCAGATGCCATAGGAAAATAATGGCGGTTCGGTCGTTTCCTGATCCCCGGGCAGCAGAGTGCTGAGCAGTATTTCAGGGGCAGTTGCTCTTCTCTGTGGACTTTAAGAAGACAGCAGATGCTAATTTGCTCGTTTGCAGGCTCTGCCCAAAGGTCTGAATTGAGAGAGTAAAAGTGACACAGCGTATCTTTAAACGTTCGGAAGGTGTGGGGATAGGGCTGGCTGAGGAATGCTGCAAGCTGAGGAGCACAAGAACAGCAGCTTCACAAACCAAAATATTCCCCAGTAAAAGGACGGCCTGTTTCCTAGTGGTTTTCCCCCTCTTTCCTTAATGCTTTGAACAGCAGAAAAAATACACATATAATAAATAAAATTTACTTTATTTTAAAATAAATAAATTAAGAAACAGAAATAAACAGGCCAGCTAAATAAACAATTCCATCTTTTCTGGCTGCAGGAAGATAGGAAGCGTCTACTTCCTAAGGACCTGGCAAGAGGCTCAAGATCTGTGTGGGCTCATGCCTTCTCAGTTGGAGCAGACTTGGTGTCCCCTTCCCTAACCAGATCAGAAAGGACATCTCCTTCTGAGGTGTCTGGGTAGAAGGGAAATTCTGGGATATGGGATGCAGATTCAAACTAGCTGGCAAATAAAGCTCTTGAAAAGAAGGCTGAGAAAATATGTAATACAAAATAAGAAGCAACTCAGGGATGCCATGAAGAAAGAACCAGTAACCATAGACAACCCTCCAGCTTACACCATTCATTACACAGATTCCAGTTTTATGCTCCTCAGCATCATAAGACAAGAGAGATGCCAAAATACCCTATAAAGACCTTAAATATTCCTGCTTCTGCTTTGTTTATTTCTCTAATGATGAAAGATGTCAGCTAAGCGCTAAGTAGATGGGCACATCTGTAATAGCTGGTACCATAAAAAATGAAAGGATACAATACAAATGAAAAACTGTTTTCACAGTTAGATTAGTTGATAAGAGCTTGTACTTATTTTGATACTGAAATGTTTGATTTCTATTGACATATTACATACCTACAAATGAAAACACATATTTGCTACAACTATTTATCACACCTTTAGAAGGGCCCCAGAATAGCATTAGCTGCTGGACTAGTTAAGTAGTTGACCATAGCTTAAAACCCACTTTAAGTAAAGACTGAAATTAGGTTATTTTGATATAGCCTTGGAAACACTCTGCTTGTGTATTTTCCCAATGCAAGAGGAAAAATGTGCAACTCTGATTTCTGCCTTGGTTTTTCATCAGAAAGACCTGGGGAAAATCAATGAAAACCAGTCCTTCTGCAAATCCTTCTTCTCCTCTATTTCCAACTTTCTCAGTGCTCTTATGTTTCTGAGTTCTTTGCCTGAGTAACAGTGTACCTCTTCTCTCTTCACAATTTGAAGACTTGCAGCCTGGATCCTTCTAAAATAAAATTTCAGTATCAATCTGTGATGGACGGGAAAAATTGAGAAAGCTGACACCGGCAACATTTTCATACGTATGAGGCAAAACTCTCTTCGAGCCCGACAGCAATCTTGCCTCGGCAAGAACAGGATTAGGCTCTGCGCCTGTATTTTGTCCTGTTGCTTTAGCGTGCTTCCACTTGAGTTCACCCTTGCGTGCAGCATGGGTGCATGCCATGCTTCATGTAACTTCATAGCTCTTTCCTGAAGTTGCTATCCCTCTGCAGTATCGGTAGAATTTCTGTATTTATATAACAGCAGAGGGAGCCAGAACTTCAAAGTCAGACCATAACCATCAAGCAGAATTCATTGGCTAAGCTGAAGGGAGGGAAGAAAGGAGGGGGA